TTCGACATATTCAATGACGATATTTAGGCCGACCACTACACTTTTTAGAGGAGGGAATACGTCTGATATCTCAACTGTGGTTTGTAGAACAGCTTTCATCACCGCCTTGGTCATCACCGTCTTGTCGTTATTCTTCGGCGCCCCAACGGGCTTCCCACTGCCAAGGTTCTTGAACCCGCCAAAAGGACCTTGACGCTTAAGCATAATAGAGGTTTGCGCGACAAGTTTGCGTTTGGGAGGGGGTGAGAGAAGGACGATGGAGAGAGGTCAAGGACGTACTTATTGGGTATTAGTAGACGGGATTGATATCGACACGAGGATGGAAACATAGAGAAGAAGCACAGATTGATAGTTGATCCAGTATCGTGGGCGGTATTCAAATATTCAGCACTGGGACACGTAAAGTTCAATATATCGCAGCGTAGAATCTCAAGACTACGTGAGCGCACCACTGCATTTCATGTTGAATTCTTTGTGAATATCGATGGGGTAAGACTGCAGTGGACGCTCTGGGTTTCAGGCCGTGAATCAGTGGTTGATTGGATAGACCGAGCATTGAACTACTTACGACATAAATTCCACAGCCTAAATATCGCCATCTGCCAGACTGTAATCGGCATTTTACGATACACGATACATGACTGTATTGCGGAGATCCGCGTCTATAACCGGAATTTACTGCGTCTGGTACGTGGCTCTGCCATGTTCCTACTTCTACGGTGCTCCAGATTCTCGCTCGGCGTACACAAATTTGTGGTGTGTTCGTCTGTGTATAAGTGCACCTCATTAGCTATGAGTCAGCCGGGGTACATCTTCGAGGCGTAAGATGGAAGAGATCGTGAAAAATAACAGACGGTCATGCCCAGGCTGAGAACTCACCAACCCGTGGTTTGATCAGTTTACATTACTGTTCAATTGACCTGAGAACATCCGCGTTAGCACCACATTGACATCGGCTGATTATCTTCCACGTCCGAGGTCATCGACGCATTACCCACGTAGAAACAATGACCTAACTGTATTCTCAGGAGGGCGGACGTAGCCGCATCTTGAGAGCTTCTACTGGCGAGAAGCGATGACGATGAGCGCTGTAGTCGATCATTAATATTGCTCACATATGGCTGACGAGCACAGAATGATAAGATAGCGAAATCCGCAGCTTCCTATCATATGAAAACTGCGACATGTCTTTGACGCAACAGGTAAGCCAGGCGCGTAAACTGTGACAAAAAATAGTACTATATACCTCAAAACAATGCTTGAAAAGATATCACGGATGTACGTAGAATACCGTGACGTGTTCCATCACGATATGTCAGTCGTTTTGCCGACACAAGCGGGAGCGGTGCTCGTGGAGGGGGACATGGAGACAGGCACGGGACAGGCAGCGCCGACTCGCAGGAGTCCTTCTCATTTCATTCTCACTTGTCCTTGGAAAATTCCTACATCCGATAGCAATAATTGGTGTTTTGTAAGAGCTTGTAAATTGTGCGACGGTGGCAATACCACCATTAGGAAAACCTTGGAAAGAGAGCTTGAGAAAGAGGGATGTACACACCTTCGGAATCAGTGCTACGGGCACTCAGGCCAGCCTGAGTAGCTAGCTCGACTCGGCTCCTGAGCTTTAATATACTGTTATCTTGCGGATTAAGTATCGTATATCTGTTTTTTGGTCTCGTACCGAAAGTCGTATGTTGAATATTGACGGGTATGCCAGTGAACCCAGGGGGGCGTAAGCATTCAAGACGAGAGCGGTGCCCGAATTGAAAAGCCTAAGGCCGCGTTCGATGACACCCATTATCCGCCGTTGTGTTATGCTATCCTCCATTATCAAAGATTTGTCAGCAAATCTCGTGGGTTCCACAAGAGGTCACAGTAGCATCACAGTGGTGTCACAGTAGTGTCACACTCACTTGCCGAACGGTATATGTATGTGCTGAGTGAGCGTGGCCGGCCCTATTTATTCTACATCATAACACATCTTGCCCACACAGTATCATGCCGATACCGAGCACCTTGAAAAGGTCCAGTACTTCTGAGCATGCACGACAAAAAAAAGCTGTTCTTCTTGCAGCATTATCCTCTGCTGCTGCCGCCGCTGTGTATGCACACTCCATAAAACAACGCCCTCAGCATACTTCAGTACTTACTGGACAGCTGTGGATGCGTGAGTTATTGAAGGGTCACCCTGCCAGCTTTTATGATGCAATGGGCATGACAAAGAACACATTTCGATGCTTATTATCAGAGCTTGGTAGCCAGTGTGGCCTTCGGGATTCACGTGATGGAGTCTCGGCTGTAGAGAAGCTCGGAATGTTTCTTTATATAGTCGTCAATGGTGCACCATACAGGCAGACAAAACACCGTTTTCAGCGTAGCTCCTCCACAGTGAGCAGGTAAGTGCCTTGAATGACGATCAACCTTCCGTTACTAATCTCAATTAATTGCCGAACATAGGTGCTTTCACGAGATCCTCAATATGCTCAATTCTGCATCATTCTATAGTCAATATATATACCTTCCAGATGGAGACACACCGGCATATATTGTTGACAATCCAAAGCTCTATCCATTTTTAGATGGAGTTGAGGGTGCATTGGATTGTAGCCATATTGACGCATTCGTAAGAGAAGAAGAGCACAGTAGCCATCGTAATCGCAAGGGTCGATTGACACAAAATGTTCTTGCAACATGCGACTGGGAGATGAAGTTCCGATATATCTTACCTGGATGGGAAGGGAGTGCAGCAGATGGAAACATTCTGGATTATGCTCGGAAAACTGACTTTGCAGTTCGCCCGAACAAATTCTGGCTCGCTGATGCAGGACTACCTTCCTGTGATGCATGCCTAGTTCCATTTCGTGGGGAACGCTATCATTTGAACGAATTCCTCCAAGGGAGTACAAAGTATGTCTTGCATATTTTGGAATGAAATTTCACATTACTCATTTCTTTATTAGACCACGGAACTATCGCGAACTCTTCAATCTGAGGCATGCCCAAGCTCGCAATGTGATAGAGCGAACTTTCGGAGTTTTCAAAAGAAAGTTCCAAATTCTTCGTCTCGCACCTGAGTACTCTTTGAGAACTCAAGCCAAGCTAGTTACTGCTCTTGGTGCTGTGTTCAACTTTATCCGAGTTCATGACCCAAGTGATATTGACCACTATGAGAACATCACACAGAGGTCGACGTCTTCTGACCCTGGTTATGGTGATCTTTCAACACATGTATCATCAGCTGAAAAACAAAGAGCAGATATACGGCGGGAGCAGATTGCTCAAGCAATGTGGACGCAGTATCAGACATATACAAGTAGTCAAGACACCACATAGAAATAATGATTAATCATATGCTATAAATACAAAAACTCCTCAGTCGTCAGAGAGTAATGATGCTATGAATGCAGTACGGTTAGCAGTTTCTTGCATTGCAAGGTAAGCATCAGCAACCCCAACGTCTTGCTGAATAAACTTTACTGCCTTGATAAAGTCAAGCGGTGAAAGACCACTATCTTGCTCTACTGCTCGGATAGCAATGCGACGGCGAGATGGAGATGATAGTGTATCAAGAACATGCATCGGTGGCTCTGTATCAGCAGAAAGTGAAGTAGACATAGAATGCGGAGCAGGCGATGAGTCAAGACTAAAGGCCCGTGCGATATCCTGAAGACCCTCTGCAATATGCTCCAGAGATCCAGCAGCATTTGCACGTTGACCGCGACCATGTCCGCGGGACCGCTTGGCTGGCCAAACAACAGAGTTCTCCCCATCTACAGCACGTCGCTTTTGGCGATTATCAGGAGGGGTAGAAGTCGAAGACTGTGATGGAGTATCAGAGGAATTGGGGAGCCGTGCAGACATAGGCGACAGTAGTGGTGAGTGTGAGCATGAGGATTGGTCGGCGAGGTGCTGTGTTGTATTATCGAGGGGATTATTGAGTCATGAATTGTATCCGTGGACGAGTTATAACGTACCTGTGAATCTTCGACCGGAATTTCGTGTCCTATACTCCCCTGCCTGTCCTGCGTCTCATTGCCCCCGTACTCGCTCTCCGTGTCGGCACCAGCATGAAAGACGTTCTTGCCAGTGGCATACCGACCGTCGATCAGACTCCCAAGTTCCTCGTACAGAGGAAAAGTGCGGTCTCTCCATTTCTCGAGATGAGGATGCTTCTACTACATTTTGAGTATACCAATAAGAGCAGATAGAGCTACAGACATACCGCAATGAAGTCGTCCCATACACTGTTGGGAGCCGTGACAGTTTTCATCTCTTCATCCCAACCAAATCCCGATGCGCCACCTGTGAAGAAGAACTTGACTTGTTTATATTCCTTCTTCAGCTGTAGTATTTTTCATTTAAGCCAAGATCTGGAGAGTCAATAGAAAAGGGTGCATACCGTTGCAAATCGAGTAGTGCATGCAGGTGCACTTTTCGCAGGCCCTCCAGAAGTCACTTTGGTGCCTCTCAATGCTTCTTCGGCACGTTTCCACACAGTCGTCTTGAATCCGTTGTTAGCCACCAGCCCCTCCCGCTTCGCTTGCTCCAAAACGGACACCAGAATGCGGTCGCAATCTTCATTCCAGACGGTCTTCGCGGCACGGGTAGTAGCTGTAAGTGGTCGTGAGTTTTTGGATTTTGGAGCCATAGTAGGTCGTATAGGTGTGGGAGTGACATACAATATTTACTCACAGCATAGCTTATATACACAGAGGCTGAGTAAACTATGAGGCGAGCGAGGTTGCGGTGAGAGCGAAGGCAAGACAAGTTAGCGTGACAGACGCCTGTGCGACGTGACAGCATAGAAAACCGCCGAAGTAACGCGGCGCTTCGAGTCTGATGGGATAACATTTGATAACAGGCGTATAACAAGCCCGTTATGAATTTGGCGGGATAACATAACATAGGCCGACGATAGCTGGTGTCATCGAACGCGGCCTAAGATTTAAACTCCCGATAGTTATTCCTATCAGATACAATATAAAAGTTGCCGAAATAATGGGCCTTTAGCTCAGTTGGTAGAGCGCACGCTTCGCATCGTCAGGACTGCGTGAGGTCGAGGGCTCGATTCCCTCAATGTCCACTATTTTTATACGCGAGCTTGCACCTTCCGTAGGAGTCATTTATTTTGGGTAGGTTAGAGAATGCATGTATGGATGAAACCATCACAACATGAGGGCTATAGGTGTAATTTTCCAGATTTTGACCTCGGACTTTCACAAACATTACATAATTTACACGGGTTTTATATTACGGCAGAACGGTCATCTAGAATTAATTGGTTCAGACAATAACTGGCAGTCAATGTCGATATTGGGGTAAAGTACATAATCGGGATAGTATGCTATCGATGTCTGGAATAAGATTAGAGTGCTTCCAAGAGCATATTGGACGTACGTGAACTAGTCGGAGAGTTTTCAATAGATGAATATCCCGAGCGAGCTGTTAAAGGCGTGGAACAGTGTGTGGTTGTGCTTTCTTGGCTCATTTGTCGTTGTTGCTTGGACTCTTCGTGGACTCCAAGCGCACTCTGTACCTCCTCATGAAACGGTTCCGACATGACAGTATCCATATTCTCGTCCGGGTATTGAAGGAGGTTTGGTCGCTTCGCAATCTGAGCATGATGACGCGTCAGTCGACTTGGCAAAGCCTGGGTTGTAAACAATTACGGACAGTGTTAGCCTCTTCTGTGTTAAGCGAGAGCTTTCTCTTGAGACACATAGTGATGGAGGTTTAAGCTGCTATGAAAAAGCTTCCTTCAGGGAACGAAATCAGACTATAAAGCTAGTAACAAAGTGGGGACAGGTAAGTAGAGGTAACTTGAACGACAACTTTGACAAGTGTCTCTCACAATAATACATAGCAGTTTCACCTTCTCCAATATAATTCTTCGACATGACTCCAGTTTGTGTGCTCGGGGCGCAAGGAGGAGTAAGAGGCGTACCGAAACCCAAATTAGGAAGTAATAAAGTTTTAGTCGGAGTCTCAATTGCGTGCTGCCACTCAGGCGCGTGTAACGAGCGACTCTTGCAGAGCCGTCAGCATCGTACTCTTCTTACTCACTCTTATTTATATTCTTTCTTTTGCCATCCCTAGGATGATATGTCGGACGTAGAGGGCGGACGATGCCACAATGAAAAGGCGCCTCAGGATAGCCCTCCGCTTTTTCAGCATGGGAAGCTTGACATCCAGAGTCGGTGGTCACTAGCGTTTGCTTACTCCGTCTAACTCACGAGTGCTGTCTGATTACAGTGCACCATGTAAGTGACAAGAACGGAGTACCGCTGATTACATGTTGAGCTAGCTTCCACAGATTGGATGGCTCGTGAGCGGTGTGTTCACCATCGCCGCAGCCGCCGTCTCGTTCTGGCTTATGCACAAGCATCTTCGGTGGTATACGAATGTAAGCTTTCACTGACATCTGAAGGATATCATCTCATGCTTTAATTCGATTTAGAAAAAGGAGCAAAGGTGTACGTGCCCATACTCTTGGAAACATAACACCCTTTCATCCATTTTTCAGACATCATCCGCATACTCCTCATGGTACCTCTGTACGCTATCATCAGCACGGCTTCCTTCCTCTTCTGGGTATGGCCCAAATTTCTGGCTGCATATTGCTGCTAACTTATTTACTGTATAGAATCATTCCACACCGCTTCTTCTCGTCCGGGACTGTTACGAAGCTATTGTTTTGACATCATTCTTTTATCTTCTCTTGCTCTATATCTCACCTGACCCAGAGCAGCAGAAAGATGTTTTCCGTAAAGTTTGTTGGGCCTGTTTTTAAAATTTCTCCAATATCTCACTGATATACCGACATTATACAGCATGGCCTTTCCCATTTCAATGACAGGTTGCGACTCGCGAACGGGGAGCCTCCGAGGAATTGGATGTTCCCTTTTGGTAGACTCAAGGCTCGGCCACAGGTATATGGTAATACACGCAATGCTGCATCAGTACGCTAACTTCTATTTCCCCTTAGGATGGACTGTATTTCTTGCAAATGATGAAGTGGGGAGTACTCCAATACTGCGTCGTACGGCCAATGTATGTGCTTTACCTCAACAATTCATATTACCCGATTGAATCTCCCTAGTACTACGTTGGCAGCGGTAATCCTGGACTACGTTGGCTTGTATTGCGAGGACTCGTGGAGCCCTGGTTGGGGTCACCTCTACGTATGTTCCTTGTTGCTATCTCATCCTTCTTAACCCTAGTTACTATCACCATACAGATCAGTGTTATCGTTTCTATCTCCGTGTCTGTGTCCATGTACTGCCTCATTCAACTCTACGTCTGCGTATCAAGCTTCCTCGCCCCTCAAAAACCCCTTCTAAAGATGTTCGCGATTAAAGCTGTTGGTAAGCATGTGTATTATTTTGCCTTGACCATCGAAACTCAACGAGGATTGTTTAGTATTCCTGACGTTTTGGCAAGCGACATTCCTCTCGCTCCTCGCTACATTTGGCTTTATCAAAGACGTGAGCGCATTCCTCGTTTCATACACTATAATTTTATTCACGAGGGCTATTAGACCCAATACATGACTGCGGAAAACATCAATATTGGTATCGGTGCCATTGCTGAGACTGTCGAGATGACGTGCGCTCCCTTAGCTCGTACATCGCTTTAACCAATAACCTTCTTCTGCAGATTATTCGCAATCCTGCACGTCAAGGCATTCAGCTACAAACCCTACGTCATTCCTTCACAATGTACAAATCGCTTGCGTGCATTGATACACGCGTTCAACTTCATGGAGACATATCGAGAACTTCGGAGTGGCATCATTTACATGTGGCATCGCATGCGTGGTCGTGAGACAGATGTGATGGCCAGACGGCAAGCGGTCCTCGAAAGCGTCTTTGGCAAGTCAAGGTTCGAGATTCAGGGCGGCCTTCCGACTGTTACACCGAGCGATAAAAGGGGAAAGAACGTAGTAGAGAAAGACGCGTTGACGATCGAGGTCGCAGTTGAACAGACGGTACATGTTGGGGAGGAGCGACCGTGGCTCGGCGCCAGTGATAACTATGGCTACAGCCATACACAGATTCCAGGAGAAAAGATATTGGGACTTGGCAAGAAGGCTGATAATGGGCTCAACAACCACAGTTACAGGCATCGTGAGTTATTTGCTTGATCGTGGTTGAGAGGAAGGAGGGCTGACATGCAGTAGAGTCGTCTAGTGGTAAGCACTCGAACACAGGTTACAACCTTCTCAATGTTCCTGTGGAATCCGAAGGTTCCAAGCACGCAGGCATAACACACCAGCCAGAACGTGCCTGGTGGAGAAGCGTTTACAATCGTCTCTCTCAGACTGAGCCTGCACCGGAACTAAATCCAATTGTAGACAGACCGGTAGGCCCTCCCTCTAAACGTGCACAACATCTCTCTACTGTGGACCTTTCTTCGGAGAAGTACGACGATCCTCCGCCACCGTCATCTATTAGGAAGTATCAAGAAAGCAGGACAAAGCCTACGCCCCAGGCGATTTCTTCTCCAACCTCTCAGTTGCCTCCAACGACCCGCACGCCTCGTCCTCGGCTCATCATTTCTCGGCTTACCAGCGCGGTCCCCATACAATCCGCAACCTCCCTACCATCGGTTTCCTCCAGACCAAACAGTTTCCTCGCCGGAGTTTTCTCCCCCATTTCCGACGCGTCGAACTCGACAGAGGCACTGAGTGGCGGTGCTACGTCATCCCAGTCACATCGTACCCAGGTTCAACTGACTATCGGTCCTTCGATCGTACCCAGTGCACAACCCAAAGCTATCAAGCGAAAACCAGTACGGTACTCTCCTCCACCTGCTCCATTCGCTCTTCCTTGGAACGCGCGCATTGAAGAACTCGAAGAAGAACCGTTTATCCCCGAACGTTTGTACGATGATCATCCACGCGGGACGTCTCGGCCCAGACATATTAGCCAGGTAGACAGAAGTACGGAGGTAAAGCAGGGACATGGATACCCGTCACCTGCTCCGTCCCCACCGAGGCGTCATGTCCCACGACGTGATCAAATCGTCCTTCCTGCACCTCTAGCCCCTCCTCCTCCCTCTCTCTCTACCTCTCCGCCGGGATTGCCGGTGCGTCATTCACCAACACCACCACGTCCACCACAGAAAGACCCCCGACGTGAATCTCCGAGTCCTTCACATCGTCCCCCCCAACCGACCTCATCTCCTGATCAACTTGGTGGTGGCGGTCACAAACGGCTCCGTCGATCCAAACACGCTGATCTACGAGCACAGAATCATACGTTTACACAACCACCACCACCGCTGCCGACGCTGGCACCTGATCCACGTCGATTGAGGAGAGTCGGTCGGAGGTCTATCGAGCCGCCTCAAGGACTCAGAACCCGTTCAGAGACTCAGACTGGGCTGTGATGTACAGTATTTTACTCTTGATTTGTATCATCTTTTTTTTCTTCTCAAAGCTGTGTTATTCCTCTGGAACGTTTTTTTTTTCGGTATCTTGGTGCTCTCATTGACGACTTGTGACTACTGACGACCCTTATGACTTACGACTTACGACCCCTTCATGACGATGGACAATTGTAAATGACGACTTTGGATGTATATATATACCATGGACTTAGTTTACCTGTTATACGATTATCACGACTATCAAATGTACCTTCTCACTGTTCGAGGGGAGAGTCAAAAGTACACTCCCAAACTAGCAGTAGGCTCTCTCGCATGCCGCTGAACATACACACCATCATACAACGTGTTTGCTAAATGTAACAACAATGTATACTTTAACTACAATACACGGATACACAAACTCATAACATCCACTCCCCTCCCCCCAATTTTCCTACATCATTTAAGCACATAACCCTGATCGCTAATTAACCATAATAAAATGCGTACATAACTCACAAGATGTGTTATTTCCCCCCACCTTGCTCGTCACCTTGTCCTCTCAACCATCTCTTGATTTTTTTACTCAACAGCCAACAACCCAAACTTGCCACTCCCCACAACTCCTCGTCCCAGCGTTGTCTTCTTCCCATTTTGAACAGACACACCACCAGAAGCAGGAACCTTATCCTTCTTCCGTTTCCTATTCCCACC